CCTTTCCTGCCAAGGTATTAAACGAGAAATATATATAATATGTATTCCGTCTGAATTCTGAACCTAAAGCTACTAGTATAATGTTTGTACGTCGTTGATATACACTGTGGGTTTTCAAGAATTTAATTGTCTTGTCAAAGGAGAAAAGTAATTTTTGTTACTTATGTTAATAATATACTAGATTTTCACCCGTGCGTTGCACGGGATGAATTTCATAAATATTGTTTTCTCTTGACCCTTTAAAAGCATATTGGCAATAGGTTTCATACATGGTATCTTTGGTGATCATATATAGGGGGTGTTTCGTGTTTGGATTTTGATTCTGCTTCTGTTTCTTAAAAAAACAGAATCAGAAACAATTTTCATAAGTTGATTTCAAAATTTTGTGTCTATAAGTAATTTACTGCACCCAAAAGCACTTCTCCAGTATCATCCAAAACACTACGATATCTGCTTCTGCTCTTTGAAGGAGTAGAAAGAGTTTTAAGAAGTAAATAAAAATAATTTCATAATCAGGAGCGAACTTACGTGTGAGCGGTAGTAAGCTCAAGCTGAGTTCAGCTTTTTCTTAATTAAAGCAATAGTTTTTTTAAAAAAAAATATTATAACCCCATCGAAAAATAATATCTAAGACATAAGTCTAACCCAACTATTAATGACACCATAGATGATTAAAACTTTATTGAAAATAGTTCATGCGAACTCAAAGACCTGAAATAGTTATTGAAGGACTTTTAAAAGCAAATGCGCATTCCCCTCTTTTTTTTTATTTTTTTTTAGGGGCCAAAGGGCACGGAGGAGTATCTGTATTTGGTGGAGTGGGTGAACATACTCATGAAGGAAATGATCTTTACGTGGAAATGAAAGAATTCGAAGTAATTAATGACCAAAATATTGCAGAATCAAAAGTGGCCCTAGTTTACGGTCAGATGAATGAACCACCAGGAGCTCGTATGTCATAAAAAGTTAGGCACATATTCACACCTCCGCTAAATCATGAACAATAGAATGAAGCATTTTAATTTGCTTAAATGAACAGAAAAGAAAGAAAGATCATAATTCAAAAGTTCATAAGTTCTAGCTATATGTTACTTATCGTCACTCATGTACCCTTATTGGCCCTTTACAGATTTTCACTCATCCAAATAGAGTTCCAGCCATCTGCAAAAATATCCGACACAAATTTAAAATGCTTGCACTAAACTGGAGTAGAAGTCAAACTGGCATAAGCACACATACTAAAAGTATTCTAAACCATAGCTTAAGCCATAACAGAATTAAAAATAAAGTTTCCTTAGAAGATAAATGGTAAAGCTCAAGTTGTTCAAATACTTGCTTGATATTCTGCACAAGAGTAGAGCCTATTGCATCTTCTATGAAGCACTGAAAACCGCAAAAAGACAACTAAAATGAATAATCCTTTATGGGATTAGATGTACCTCAACAATCCTTCTTCTGGAATGAAATGCTCCTTTAAGAAATGAGATGTACCTTGACAAACCTTCTACAGGACCATATCACACATCATCTTCTTGGGCATAAAATTCATTAACTTTTAAAAGAGATACAATCCAGTTTATGCCAGCACCATAGCAGGATCAAAATTTATCTAGATGTTTATGAGTTAGCTCAAGTACTTATTCTGTTTTCATTTCTACCATGTTTATTAAGAGAAAAATAAACTGAAAAAGAAATTAAGAAACATATTTAAAAGAATACACTCATCAAACCAGAATCTTATAAAATATCATTGATATCTGTGAATTATTTTACTCACTTATTCTATATAGTTCTTGTATGCTAAATACATGTGGCATATTAGTGAGATTATGTCCATAAAATTTCAAGTGGGTATGTTAAAAGTTTTAACATGCTCAATCATATTTATGTACAGATCCATAATTTTGCTCCTTGAACCAAACTGAAATGGATTTTATACCGTACATTGGACTTTTTTCATCCTCGAAAGGTGTTTGGAGGTGTAACCCAACAATTTATAAGTACTATGACTTGCATAAGTTGCATCAGTCTGACTATATTCACGAATAGAGAAGTGGTTTTGTATTTGATTTTAACCCCAAACAAAAGTCCAATTCACTACCATGTTTATTAAGAGAAAAAAAACTCCACTTTTGATTAAAAGTGGAGTTTTTACATAATACCAAAACTGCATTTTATTGAGATCTGCAAATCTCAATGAGAAATGCACGCTATAGGAGCAATGAGGATCCATACACCTGACAGCCTTATAGATGATATGCCAATTACGAAGGTAAGCTGGGTCCTATACTTAGAACGATGATTATGAATAAACAAAGTAGGGAGAATTAACTACCTGATCATCTTGGCACCTATGCATACTAAAAAGGAATCAAAATAAGCTGTGGTTTAACATATTAAGTACTGAATGAGACTTATTTCACATTATACATGACAATTAACCAAGCTGATCTAGGCTAGGTTTAAACCCAGCCATTTCAAATAGGATGATGAATAAGAATAAACAAAGTACTTACAATGTGCTAGGAAACCCCTGTTTTTTAATGTGTTGATTAACCAAGCTGATACAGGCATAGGTTTAAACCTGGCCTTTTCAAATAGGATGATGAATAAGAATAAACAAAGTATTTACAATATGCTAGAAAACCCCTGTTTTTAATCTGTTGATTAACCAAGTTGGTCCAGACATAAGTTTAAACCTAGTTTTTTAAACTCCATTTCAACATATTTATATTGACATTAAACATGGCAAATAACCAAGTGGATCCATGCATAGATTTAAACATTAAGTTGTTGAATCAGATTTATAAGTACATAAATATGAGATATATATTTAGTTCCAATAGGTTTATTTTAATTAATTGGATCTCCAATATAAGTCAATTCCCCTTTGGATTAATTTCATCAAAATGATCTATGCTCTGGCTCTTTTGGCTAGAAATGCTCTGGTTTTAGATTTCTTGTGATACATGATGTACCTAGTTTTAAGCATAGAATGAAATTTAAACTCTATGAAGAAGACAAAAACCTGACTAATCTACCCATATAACACTAAGACATTGGATTTTTCCGTACATGTGACTATGATCATATTATTCTATCCAATGACCTTGTTGGTTAAATTAAATAATTAATGATATTTATCTATGACCAAATATGTACTGAGAAATGGATAGTATCATATTTAAAGAAATTTTCAGTGCACAATTGTTTCATACGACCTCACCTCGGAGTCGCTAATCTGAAATCGAACTGATGCTATATATCTCCTCCTTTCGGCAAAACAATTCCTGCCGAGATCATCCAGGCTTATCTCAGGGAACACAGAGCCTCTAACAGTATTCAAGAACCTCTGGCAGGATTACTCTACAATTTCAGCATCAACTGCCGATCGGTTTGTTTGGGGAGAGAGATGAGGCTTCGACAATTAGAAACCGAGTGAGAATGAAGTCTGCGGCTGATCGACTTGTTTGGGCCTTGGATGATGAGAAATGCGAAAGCAAGAGTGCGTGATGAGAGGGGAATGAAATAACTTCAGCCGTAGATTGAAACTGATCGTCCGCATGAAATGTCTTATGCAATCAGCGGGAAAATGAGGCTCCTCAAAGTAGTGCAATTATGTAGAGTGATTATTTTTTTATTAAATAAAGTTGTTGACTAATAACATTAGCTATACGTGTAATACATATGTATAAGTGGTTAGTAATAAATAAAAATAAAAATCAATCGATGTCCTTAAACGTCATTCAACAAGTTATCAGCCGATTACAAATAGCTATTTAAGCAAACACAATTCTAAAACAGCCAATACTAGCAGCTAATCAAAACAGCTAACATAATTCGCTGTTACTAATCAGCCAACATAATCAGCCATCGGCCAACAGCTAACAACCAATTGCCAAACACCCCCATTGTGTTTCCATTAGTTTTTTATTTGTGAAATTAACTTTGATTTTACCGGTGGCCTCCGCAACTTTGGAAAGAGCTTTCTCAGCCATGAAGATCGTGAAGAACAGGTTGCGCAATCGAATAGGTCCCAAATAGGAAAGGGTGAGACCTAATTCGGGAATAAAACAATTATAATAATCCTATTTATGAACTTTGTCATTGTTTTAATCCTATTTAGCGATTTTTCTCATAAAAAAATTGTTGCTACACATACAAGGTTTAGCTTAGAGTTGTTAACAAATTGAACTTTTTTCGAAGTTCGATCTTGATTTCAAATCCAATTTAATGATGTGAGCTTAACAAGCTTTGAACTTGAACACGCACTAGATTTTGAATTCGAATAGTTAGTCAAGCCGAGTTCGAGCATATTGATGATTAGTTCAATCCTGACTCGAGCCTATCATTCACCTATAAATTATAGGAATAAATTATATAAGTTATATATTTACTTATTAAAATTCTTATCACAATTTATAAATTTATTAATGAATATTAAAGATTGGAGTACTTAATGAATAATTTTAACATTAATTTATTAGTTAACTAGCATAGTCTAAACTTCTACATTCAAATATGTTTATCGAGCGTTCAAACCGTCACCCAAAATCTATCAAGGCAAAATAGAACTCCACTTTGTAATAGGTTAATATTCATTTCATTGTTTCGATGCAGCATACTGATGGCAATTGGTCATATGTACGTAGTATGTATAATATTTGACTATTAACACGTTAAACTTTTGTTTTAAAATTATTATATAATCTTCAATTACATATGAAATTATGATGTGCTAAAAATTACAAGGACTAAAATTATGAATTATATTTTAAATTAATCTTTAGGACTCAATAAACCAAGCTTTTGATTTTTTTGGGTTGGGCTGAACACCAGTTTTTTATAAATTGATATCTTTAATTATAAAAATGGGGTTGGGCAGGCCAGGGCTGGAGTCCCACCCTAGCCCCCTATGAAGATCCGTCCTTGAAAGTTTACATTAAAGAAATTGTCCCATATAGGTCTAAAAAATTCTTAAAATTCCTAAATAGGATCTTCTATGTTTCTTTCCCTTAATATGATCATTTTAATCCTATATTGAAACATACGGATTGCATAGTCCCTACCAATCTGTGTACGCATAACCGTTTTTTCTCCCCATTTCTTTCTCTTCCGAATTTTCTGTCTTTCAGTTACGATCGTCTCTTTGCTTTTCCCTTTTTTTACGCTGCTGATTATTATCTCCTGTTTTCACTGTGTGTTTCTTGTATCCAACCAAACACTTATGCCATATCTCATCTTTTCTCTGTCTATCATAATTTACAACCAAACACATTTCGTGAGGTGAAGTCCTGCAATTGTTCTGGTAACGATCAAATGATCAACTCATACGATTATCATTTTCTTCATTATTCATTTTCTTCACTATCGGATGTTGTAGAAGAAGATAACCACATGACTCATGTATTTTTATGTTTTTTATGTTAATTGTCATTGTTGTATAATTCGAAACCTAAAATCTAAAAATCATGTACCATGTCTGTATTGAAATCTGTAAAATATAGTCTTAAGTTTACATCTATGTTATTATCAGTCATGGTTGTACTCTTGTGACTTGTTGCTGGGATGCTCTGTTTGGTGTATTGAGTTGGAATTTAATGACATAATTTTGGCATAAACTTTATTCATAGTTGTCATGTTGTTTGTTTTTGAAAGGACTTGTCGTATTGTTTTTGTTCCTCTAGTTATCCATATGGATTCCATTGTTATGATTATGCTGAAGTTGGGTGGAAGTTGGACCAATGACTATAGCTTCAAGTCTTCAACAGTAGCCTCACCTTTGGTATTCAAGTGCGTGCTTTACTCGTCTACATACAAAGACTTTATAGAGCAACTATCTTCCATATTAAGTGATTCTTACAATGGAATAAATCACTTCAAGTTATCTTATATGGTTGATGGTTGCCCTCCACCTGTGTATATCAATGATGAAGCCACTTTTTGTTTTTTCCTCAACCTTAAGGTTCTCCAGACTAATTTCAGCAAGTACCCATTGTGTTTGAATTCTCAATTGATGGTTATAATCCTTGCATGGTGCCTGCAACGCAAATTACTATACTTGATATTTGTAGTTCACCATATGTTGTTTATTCCGAGGAAGATGATAAGATTAGGATGTTTTTACTTTGACTGTAATTTGTCCCAGACCAGACCAGACCAGACCAGCAAATTACAGTCCAAGTAAAAACATCCTTAGTTGCCAAAAATCTGAATCCAACTCGATCTTACACTCTTGTTCAATATGAATCCAGTGTCACACGGCAATCTCAAAGTCCCATTAGAATCAATGATGAACTATGTCATAGTCCATTGTTCGCTGTGAGCCCTTGCCAGTCGATCACCTCCTGCTCATTTAGTTTCTACTGAGTCTTAATCCTTCCATCATAATGTTGAAGTTATCACCCACTATCTGTTGGAAGTATGCCCTAGGACAATCATACTTTATGATTTATCAATGAATATTTAATGCTCATTAATTAATAGTCACAAACTCATTTTTATGTTAATTATTATTGTGAGTTTTCTTTATTAATATTTAGTCCCTAAATATTATGTTTAGTAGCTAATTAAGTACGTGACTTTATTGTGGAATGCTACACTTTAAAATAAGCATAATATTCTAATTGTCTCTGGTCTAATATTATTAATTTGGGACATTAATAATTAATAGACCAGTATGTGGATTAACTGATGGCTATATTCCACTAGTCATGGGTATAGAGATATCAAGTTAATAACATAGATGTTTGTTAGTGAACAAGTTCATTGGACAGATCCAACTTGAGGACACTGCTAGGTTATATGTCATCAGTGTTGTCCTCAATAATGATGAGGTGCTATATTCTTATACTTGAGATAATCATGGTTACTTGCATGTGAATTAATATGTATTAACACCATTAAATGTTATCTTTAAATGGGTAATTATAAAGGTGGTGATTGTACATATTATGAACCATGTAGTGGTATGTGAATTATCAAGATAGTTTTTGTCACTCTCGTATAGCGAGAGAAAGATATCGGGCCCTTTGACAAGCAAGTTTAATTAGCATGGCTATGCTCAAATGAGGTGTCATTTGTTCAAGATTAATCTTACTTGGTAATCAAGAAATATTAATTGAGAATAACAAGGATGACACGACCTAACCTTGTCTCAATTAAGATATCGTTTGACAAAAGAGAATTATTAGCACAAATTAATCATTAAAAGGTTATGTCAGATTTTAATTGACATTTATATATTTTGGATAGTCATAATGCCTTGCTAGAGACCGCTTATGATTTGTGAGGCTTGAATTAATTTTCTAGCCCACTCCCAACAATATATAAACCTACAGGGTTACACAACTAAGTGATTTGGATCATTAATGTTCGTTAATAACATTAAAATAGCCTGATTAGCCCAATTCGAAGTAGGTTTTCGAATGGTATTGGGCTAGGGCCTCCAGGAGAGTTTTATTAGCTATAAAACTCCTTCTTTCCTCCTCTTATAAATAGGGCTAAGGAGACCCACGAATCGTAAGAGTTAAAATTCGAGTAAAGGGTCAGGTTGGTCCTCGAAGTTGCAAAAAAGGGGTCAAATAAGTCCTTATATAGAAGATTCTGTCCGGACGTGCCATTTGAGGAGGCTTCCGGTAGAATTTTTTGATAAATTTTTTTGAGCATCTTATTCATTAAGTCTAGTTCACTCATACCAAATTTCAGCTAAAAAATCAATCGGGAAGGCATTCAAATGAATGCTTGAAGATAACTGCGCTTTTAACGACACAGTTATCTTCAAGAATTCATTTGAATATCTTCCCGGTTTAATTTTTATCTGAAATTTGGTATGAGTGAACTAGATTTAATGAGTAAGATGCTCAAAATATTTTATCAAAAAATTCCACCAGGAACCTCCCTAAATGGCGACGGCTGGATAGAATCTCCTATATAAGGACTTATTTGACCCCTTTTAAGCAACTTCGAGGACCAAACTAACCCTTTACTCGTTAAAATTCACTTCTTAAACCTAGAGTAGAGAGGAAGAAAGAAGAGAACGCTAGCACGTTCCCTGCGGCCGATCCAGTCACGTGCGTGTGGATACCGGTAGAGCTCGGGATCGTTTTCTCGGATTGTCTGACATCCTTAATTAAGATTGCTATGTAAGTCCCTCTTAAATCTTGTAATTTCGTTTATAGTAAGAGCCTCAGATCCGGTTGTTTACTTTTGGGTAGTAAGATTTTCGTTTATTCCGCTGCGTTTTTTCTGCCCGAAGCCCAACAGTGGTATCAGAGCCTACGGTTCTTTATTATATTCGGGTTTACCTGATCTATTGACATTATACGAAATTTGATATGCATATTCGTTAGTCAAAATATTATTTCGATCCAAAAGTATTTTTTTTGCTATTGTTTGATATCCGAAATCAAACTGTTTTGAACAAATCTAAGAATTTAATTTTTAGAAATTAAAATTTGGTAGCAAAATTATAGCCCTGCTGATTGGCGAACACTGTTGAACTAGCGTACGGCGATTTGGGTTTATTGAGATGAAATTAGTTGTTTGGTGTTTTAGAATTTAGCGAGGGAGTGACACAAGGGTTTGTTCTCGGGTTCGAATCCCGGCAACTGCGATGAGGGTTTACTATGCTGAAAAATGCATAGGGCTTCTGCAACTACCGGGGACAGAGCCCCACTCTCTATCTGTCAGATTGTGATTAGTCTAATTTACATCCTCCCATCGTGCCGTCCGGTCGGTGTTGGGGGGCCCTCAGGGATGGGGTGTCATCCTTTTTTTAGGGATTGCATATCCCATTCGCCCTAATCAAGGTGACCAACCATTTCCATTGTTCAAGCCCATCCCATCCTTATGCTCAAGCCCATCCATACTTCTCCATGTGAGGGCAGCTGAAAATAGCAGGGTTCGTACACAATAGCGAAGGCCTCTCTCAAATGTACAGGTGTTGGTTGTAAAATGGTCGCTTGTAAGGGCACCTCCAATGCAATGGTGCATTGCATTTCCACATCACCAAGTGAGCACCTTGATAAAGAATGTAGTCTCCAATGCAAATAGAAATAGACAAGGTCATGTTGAGTTGGCAAGAGAGAGAAATGGACGAAGTGCACTAAGAGATCCATTTTGAGACCTTCGGTCTCACCCTCCCTTCTCAACACAAGAGTAATTATTTAATCATTACTTTAATTTTTTACATAGATATCTTTTGCATTGGAGCATGGAATGAATGGACCACATGCTCAATAGACCCTCTCCATTAATTGTACACATAAGCAGCAATCCACCCTATGGGTTGGAGATGCTCTAATGACTTTTATGAAGTTGCAAAGGCCCCACTCCCCATGTGTACTTTGCTTTGACAATGTCCATCATCATGCACTATAACTGCATTGCTTGTCTTTTCCTTACTTTAGCAGATTGTAAAAGCTTGTCTTTCTTTTTAATTATTGGTGGATGCGGATCATTATTCTAGTTTGTCCTCAAATTTTAATCCCTTAAAATCCGTATCAAAGTGTCAAAATGGGCCCCCTCCCTTTAAAGTCATATAAGCTTTGACTATTGGCGGCTATTGGCGGAAGGAAGTATTGTTTACTACCTCTGTCCCTTTAACATTGGTAAAAGAGGTGATATGATTGTGAAGAAAAGTGAGTTTAATTGGTTTATATTGAATTAATAAATGAGAATAAAGTAAAAAGGGTTTGGAATCACTCAAATGTTATCAAATTTGATAAAATTTTGTATCAAATTTTATTTCCTTCATTTCCTTTGAAATCTATAGATGAGAAAATGTTTATATATCAAGCCATCTTTTTATTTAAGACTAAATTCACCTAAATTTGATAACATTCCCCTCACCTCCCTGTCCCGTTACTACCTTCTAATGTTAGTTGTATAAATTAACTGATTTGATGACAACTTCATTGACCTGTTTTGTAAGAATTTGTTGGGCCCTAAATCAAACAGATCCTTACACAATAGTTCAACGCTAGTGATTAAGAAGATGGTGTCAACTAATCTTCATTAGTGCAACAAATATGTGATGAACCAAGGCTATTATAGATTAAACATTATGAAATGCTAAAAATGGAGGTTTATCAGGTATATTCGTTTTTCTTCCATGTGATTTAGGGTTTATCGAGCATACCCAGACTCTACACATAAGTGGTGAGGTGATTTGTACATGTTAAATATGTCTATTTTAAACCTACTACATGTATCTACTTTGTTCTGTAGCAATATAATTTAAACGATTAACATTGACAATGGCTATGATTCAATATTTGACTCCTTTTTTAGTTTATACTCCCTCTGTCCCGAAAAGGTTTGTCAAATTTCCATTTTTGGATGTCTGAAAAAGATTTGTCATTTCCATGTGGCTAAAGTTAATTCTCTCTCCTCTGTACAAATTTCAACCACATAATTTTGACTTTATTAATTCACGTGAAAGTTAAAGTTGGCAAACCTTTTCGGGACGGTATTTTAATTCATATTTTATTTTTCACATTTTTGGTGTAGTATACTGTTTAAAGTTTATAGCTAGCACTTATTTAGCCAATTGAATTTCATTGTGAAAACTGCAATACCATGGTAAATAACTAAATAAAAGTGCAACCCAATTTTTCACTATAGCCCTTTAAGTTCAATCACGGTTCACATTATTATGCATGTAAATAGAGTGGAGATCTCACAAAAGTCAAATTAAAGGGAGAGGAATCAAATGTTACATGATCTATATTTGATTGGCTTTTATCACAAAAATAAAATTATTAATTTGATTTCATCTGTTCAAGCAAATAATTACACCATAGTGGGGTAACTACACCAGACTCCAATCTGATATGATGATGTGCGATTCAACAATAGTACATGATAATAATATCAAATGAAAATCATGTTTACACAAAGAAAAACATAAGAAACTTATATTGAATAGGTCGAAAGAAGGTTGGTGACAAAAGACCTCGTCTTGCATCTAGCCATCAAAGGCGTTGCTTTGGGCATAGTCAAACCAGTTCCTTCACTCATATCAATCAATTCACTTCCAAGTCTTTCCCAATCAAAGCATTGGATAACCGATGCTAATGACAACCCAACAACGTGCCATGCCAGTGTTTCTCCCGGGCAGCCTCTCCTACCATATCCAAAAGGCATCCATTTATACCCATGTTCTTTAGCACTACTAACCGCTTCTAAGCCTTTGAATCTTTCTGGATTGAACTTTTCCGGCTCAACCCAATACTTGGGGTCTCTCTGGATGGAATACAAGTTGAGCAATAGCATTGTTCCTTTTGGGATACGATAGCCTGCAACAGTGCACTCCTCTGAGGACTCGTGTGCGACTGCCAGAGGGCCAGCAGGGTACATTCTCATTGCTTCCTTCATTATGCAATTCAAATAAGGGAGTTCAACCATATCCGATTCTTCAACTAGTCTCTCATATCCCACCTTGTCATCGATTTCTTTTTGTGCCTTCTTTAGGACTTCTTGGTGGTTTAGAAGTAGTGAGAGTGTCCACTCCATTGTTGCAACCGATGTGTCTGTTCCTGCTGCTAAGATAACCTGTAGTATAATACAAACATTTCTTCCAGTTAGTGTAGGTTAGTAATTCATTTTTATTTGATGTGAGATGTCTCTTGAACAATTCCCCGCTCAATAGAGAGTAGTCCCTTATTCCTTTCACCCCATATGAGTTTTCCATCACAAAAAAAAAACAAAAAATTAAAATAAGAACTCATATGGATGATATTGATTCTTCTTAAATAAGTATCTCTGAAATCATCTTAAATTACTTTGAAATAAGCATAAATAGGGTGCGGTTAGATTGACTACAAGTAGTTGAAACTTAAAATGATTAAAGTGATTGCACTTGTCGAAATTATTGAAGTTGAATGAATACTTCATCTATCTCAAATTCTTTGTTAAAATATGGCCGTTTTAGAAGATATACAGATGATAAAGTTTATTTAATGTAAAAATTACTCCTGTTTTGAGGAGTAAAAGTTTGCATGCCATTTTCTAATAGACTATTCTAAGTTTAGGGGGACTATTAAACGATTTTATAAAATGTATTTGGATGAAAGAATAGGATCTAAAAAGTAAAAACAATATGTTAAAATGAGATTAAAAGAAAATCGGCATATTTTGACCAATTCAAGGTGAAAACGGGTTATTCCCTTAGCAAAACTGGGCAGTTACGGCTGTTTTACCAATTTGTCTGTCTCCAATAATTAATTAATTCTCGTTGGCCACGTCCTATAGGAATCATCGAATCGATCGCAATGAGTTGATAAAATTAGTGTCGAAGTCACAAGGACAGAATATTTATGTATTGGATTCATTAATAATAAGCACTTGAATGTCATCCCCTAATAAGTAATCAGCATACTTTAATGCATATAATCTCCACGGTCCTCACTCCTCATGAAAAAACTATACCTAATATTCATTGATTAATTCAAATCATTATTTTATCATTAGTTTGTGTCTAAAATCATCAAGACAGACTACTTGAATTAATCTGTAATCAATTCAATTATTCTCCTCATTTATTTATGTCTCAATTACCTAATTACTTCACATTTAAAATAAACTAATTCGCAAAAGAATTACTGAAGCAAAGTAGTAAATGCATTAAAGCAACTCACCCCCATGAGGCCTCTGATAATTTCATCTTTGTAATATTCGGGTTCCTCTGCTTGCCGGGTCAACAATACATCAACAAAGGATTTCCTTTTCCCGGCGGGATCGACGCCGCCGTCAACGCCGTCGTTGACCATCCTTTCCCGGCACTCCCTAATCAGACCCTGCAAGTAATCATCTCTATTGAGTTGTAGCTGCCGCAAATTCTCCTCCAATTTGACGGACAGCCTACTCAAAGAAGGCACGTAATCTCCGATGTTGGTGGCCCCACTGAGGAGGAAAACCTCCCTGACAATCTCCCTGAATCGAGCCGCCTCCTTCACATCCACTTCCTTGTCGTCGCCGTAATAACGTTTTCCGGCGATCATCCTCATCATCAGGTTCAACATCAGCTCGAAAAACACAGTCTTCATGTCAACTGGAGAATCCTCTTTCGAAAACGAATCCAGCTTCCGGATCATTGATTTCACCTCATCGGCGCGAATTTCGTGGAGGGTCTGTAGGCGATTATTGGACAGGATTTCGGTGGCGGCGATTTTGCGGAGATTCCGCCAGTGGTCGCCGTAGGATGCCCAGACGAGGGAGGTGTGGTTGTACCCTATATGCTTTCCGGCCAGGAAACGGGGGCGATTCGCGAAAACGACGTCGTTCCTCGACAGACATTCTTCCAACGCGGAAGGAGAGGAGACCGAGAGGACTTTCCGGGAGCCGAACTCGAGCAGGACGACTGGGCCGCAGCGCTTGGAAATGTTGATTAAGGTTTTGTGGAGAGGCTTCTTGAAAAGGTAGAGATGGCCGACGACGGGGAGGGTGAGGAACGGGGCCGGCGGGTAGTTCTTGAATTTCCGGTGGAAGTGTTTAGAGATCAGATACAGGAGGAAGAGGAGAGGAAGGTAGAATAGAAATGAGCTGATGGCTGTGTTATCCATGAATCAACAAAGATTTTTCGTGGGTGGCTGAAAATTTACTCGTAATTGACACTGCCGCGGTATAATTTGGGAGGTAAATATGGGGAATTTATACTTGGAGCAGAGCCAATATTTCACCTACACATTTACTCCCCGTAAAATACGGCGTAGGAAATTAGGAATTTAGAAGTTAGAACTTCAATGTAAGCAATGATGTAAGGACTAATGTAAGCAATGATGCAAGGACTAAGGATGTCTTTACTGGTAATTTGTAAGCAATGATGCAAGGACTAAGGATGTCTTTACTCGTAATTTGTTGGTCTGATCTGATTTGGTATAGTTTGATAATGTCGGGTCTTTTTGTAGTTTTATAACTATTCACTTTTGGTCTGATCTGATCTCGGAGAGATTACAGTCCAAGTAAAAACATCCAAAGGAGTGTTTGAAATGGATTAAAGTAAGTGCAACTATAGGCTTAAAAAACAGAGATTAATGTTTTCAAACAACTACTTCTATTCTAAAAAACAACTTTAAAACTAAAAGTTAGAAGCCAGAGTTGAAGTGCTTTAGAAGTGCTTCTTGGTTTTTTTTGTAATTAATTCAAAGTTAATGAGGGTTATAATGGAGTATGTATTTAGCTTATAAGGAGGTTGGGTATTACCGAATGAACACCCATGCTTTCTAATCTTTCACTTGGATTGAAGGAAGCAATTGCAATTGCAGGGCAGCATGAGAGATGACACCCCATACGAAAGGCGTTGAAGCTGGGCAACAAAGAGACCGTCGAAAATGCTTTATATTCAAGGGCATTTGTGTAATTTAGCAAAATATATCATTTAAAATCACTTTTTTATCAAACATTCCAACTTTAACTTTTTCACCTTACTCACTTCTATTGTAAAACACTCTCAACTTTTTCTTTTAAGCTCTCTAAAATCACTTTAAAAACGCTTTTTTAAAGCTGAAGCAATCGCCAAACACTCTTATAACATTGTCGCGTTCGACTTTTAGGTGTAGGCTGGGACACGAAACAGTAGTAGTTAAGCATTATTGGGGATGTTTTCTATATAATCGTACTTGGTATAGTTTCATAAAAGAATTTGTTTTTCAATTCCAATCAATTATGTATTGCCAAAAAATAAATTTCAATCAATTATGCTTGGGATTTTGAGATGAGTACATGTAAGTCTATCAGCGAACCAGAATTGGAATCGCACAGTACCTGTTCCAAAACCGGCGGCAGTTCCGGCCTCAATCCGCAAATTTATTTATTCTGTATCATTATATATGTAGTTTCAAATGGTAATTACTTATAGAAGTACTTAATATTTTGTGAGAAAATTATCAAAATAGGAGGAAAAACGTTTGAGAATTTCAAAATATGACGGTTATCTTCTTTTTTTTGTTGTTGTTGAAAAAGAGAACATTACTACTATCTTGAAAATGTATTGTCATGTTTTGGTATCATCAAATTTTAAACATGATAACATATTGTCATAACTGGCAATGTATTTAAAGTTTGACAATACTTACCATATATAGATAGGCAATAAAACATAAGACCCCCATTTTGGAATTCTCTACATTTTTACTCATATTTAGGTATGAATGCGATACAAGAAAACTTATAATTAGGTACACTACTTTCGTGTTTAAAAAGTACTTGTTTAGGTCTCTTGACTTGCCATCGAATGCCTAATAGCAGTAGTAATTATTTTATCAAACTTATAATTAGGTACACTACTTCCGCGTAATTTACCATATAGTCAAATGCGGCGACTTGAAATGTTTGGAAATGTTCCCCGCTAGTTTGAAGTTGTTGACAACAACAACCATTTATCTAGAACAAAGTGATCATAGTTATGGAAGATGTTTCAAATTACTAGTTAATATAAGGGTGGACATATTGATTTTTGGTTCGGTTGTTATCAATTTGGATTCAGTTCGGTTTGGAACGGGTTGAAAAAATATTATCAAACATAAACCATACTATTTTTGGTTTAGTTTGATTCACTTTAGTTCAATTTGGTTCGGTTTGAATTTGTTATTTTTTAATAATATATGAAGGTTTTTTAATAATATATGACAAAAAAGACTTATAGTAGCCAGTAAAAAAAGACTGACATGGCTGAGAGGGAAGGAAGACACGGCCAGTTTAGCAGAATTCACCAGAATCAAATCCGTCATCTAGTCCTTGATGGAGAAAGAACATATCTATTGGAGATAAAGAGCTAAAGAATTTTGGCTAAAGGAGGGGGATATTAATTCCCGATTCTTTCACAATGCAGTGAAACAAAGGCGGCGGAAAAATAAAATTCTTGGGCTAAGAGCCGAGGATGGATCTTGGGTCACTAATGGGGGCAGCGTGAGCGGGATGGTTAGTGATTATTTTGTAAAGATATTTCAACAACAGGAAGAGAATCTATCTGCTCTGGAGCTCGGTCCTATGCAACAAGTTTCGGCAGGCCAAAATTTGGTGTTGCTAAGACCGATTAAACATGAGGAGGTGAAAGCTGCCGTGTTTGATATGCATCCTGAGAAAGCTCTAGGATCATATGGCATGAACCCAATTTTTTTTCAAAAATTATGGGATTTGGTGGGACCCGAGGTAACACGCCTTTGCTGTCAAATTTTTGAAACAGGTATGCTGCCTAGTGAATTAAATGTGACGAACATTGTTTTGATCCCTAAAAAGGATAAGCCTGAATGAATGGGGGATTGGAGACCAATTGCCTTATGCAATGTGATTTATAATTTTGTTTCTAAAATCATAGCTAATAGGCTAAAAGGGATCTTGGGGAATCTGGTTGGAGAAAATCAAATTGCTTTTATTCCGGGAAGATCTATTGTTAATAATATTATTGTGGCCTTTGAGACACAACATTATTTGAAACGGAAGACTATAGGTAAAGAACTAAAGATGAATATGTGGCTTTTAAGTTAGATATGAGTAAGGCTTATGACAGAGTCAGTTGGGAATATCTCAGGCAAATAATGGGCCGAATGGGTTTTAGTGCAAGGTGGGTGGAGATTATTATGCTCTGTGTTACTACGGTGACTTATTATATCCAATTCGATAAAGAGCACTTGGGGCTGATTATCCCAAAGAGGGGGTGATACGTTTGTAATTTCCGTGTGTTTATTTACGTTTTTAGTTAGTTTTGGTTGTTTAATATTTCGGAAATTACACACTTTCGGTGTAATAGTTTAGTTTGTTAAATTCTTGTAATTTGTTTAGATTAGGTTTATTCTGAGCTTAAACAGGTCCAAGATCAATCAAATGATCAAAGGTGAAGGAAGGTGCAAGAGTAGAAGACAAAAAGAAGGAAAAATTCCTGATTTTAGGGTATACTCGATCGAGTATACCTTATACTCGATCGAGTACCAATACTGATTTTCAAGGATCCGATCCGGGAACAAATGAACATGAAAGGAAAGATTTGGCCACGTTCTATTGTCATACCCGATCGAGTACACCGACATACTCGATCGGGTATACATATAAAATCTACTCGAGTATTGATCGAGTATTGACCAAATTCGGGTTTCTACACATACTCGATCGAGTATATGTACATACTCGATCGAGTACTCGGCCTGCACCTCAAAAAGCCTATAAATACACCTCCTTTCCTTCACTTTTAGACACCAATTCCTTTATACTCTTAAGCTCAGTTTAGAATAGAATTTCTCTATATTTCTTTTAGTATGTTTAGTCTCCAAATGAGGAGCTAAACTTCCATTTCTTGGTATTGCTCTTGAAGCTTGTTGATTATTAAAGTTGTGAGTTATTTTCTTAACTTCTTTTCCTTGAATATTAATTCTTCCTTTAAATACTATTTCTATATCAATGTTGGGGAGTGTTACTAAGATGACAATTAGTTAACATCTTGACATTGGTTTTAGTAATAGCTATTCCTTCCTCTATGATTAATATCGGGGAGTGTTACTAAGATGACAATTAGTTAACATCTTGATATTTAACTATAGTTGGATTCATTCCCTTTAATATTCTTCCTTGAGTATTAATTAATTCCTATTCATATTTCATATTAATATTTTGAACATTACTTAAAGGATCAATTGGTTTTGTTTCATATATTAATTATTACTAGAAACGATCAACGAACCGATGGTTAATCGTTGATAGTTTCACAAGTAAGTAACTTCGGTT